ACTGGTGGTGTAACGAAAAAAGCCTGGGATTTAGAGCCAGAAGATCATAAAATCTCTGCGAATCTCATTTTTCTTATCTGTAAAATGGAGATACTATCTCCTTACCAGAATTGGAAACAGTGTGAAAATACATCCAAAATTATGATACAAAGAGGCATATACATCACCACTGGAAAGAAAAATCCATTTTGTTTTTGGAGATGCTCAGTGCACATCTCATCCAGCTGGGATCCAGACACTGATTCCACACCTTCAAGTAGTTCAGCATCTTTGAATCTACCTGCCAATTCCAAAGAAATTTGAGAAGTCACATTGGCCAGAAGTCCACCTTTTCTTGCCCTGGATCAATTACTGCCCATGAGATCACATTTCTAGATCCAGCTCTTTCTCCCCCTTCATCAGGGAAGGCACCTGGCTTCTGGGTTCCCTCCACTAAAGGACCTTCACATTGCTTGCAGCCCAGGTGGGCCATAAGCACTGAGATCCCCTTCTCAGCTGGCCAGGAATAAATGTGAGAGCATTGCCTGAAATCCCACCTGCCCCAGGAGCTGCTAACTGGTCAGATGAAATCCATTAACTACACGAATGGGCATTCTCTAGCTCAGAAATGGAGTTTGTGAATATCCTGAACATCCCACGTCAGTAGGCTTGAGAATCACCTGGGGAGTGGCTGAGGCGCCTCTTCCTGGGATCCACCCATAGAGCTTGATAGGTCTTAGGTGTGCTCTGGTAATTTGCATTTTTAACAGGCATCCCAGGTGATTCTGATATAATGGAGAAATGCAGGCTCCCTCTGAATGGTTGGATAGCACCCTGCTGAAGGTATAAGACCCTATCCAAGCGGAGCCCACTTACCTGCTTCCTGGAAGCTGTTGCTAGAACTGATCTCCCACAAACCTGCTTGTCCACAGTCTCCCTGTTTCAGTAAGTGGAAGTTTCACCCAGTTTCCCACACCAAAATGTGAACATCACTAGACTCCTCTCTTTCTCTTTCTTTCCTCTCTTTTCCCCTCTCCTCTTGCTCCCCTCTTTTCCAACACTGCCTCTCTCTTCTCTTTCTCTCCCTCCCATTCTCCCCACCCCACCCCGCCCATCCAATCTATCAGCAAACCCTGTCAACTTTACCTTCAAAATATTCCAGGTCTGGTCCCTTCTCCTCCTCCTCACCAGCACGTCCTATTACCAAGACACTGACTCATTCCTGAGGTACCAGAAGTCCGATCATGTCATTTTTCTGTTCAAAACCCTCCAGCCGCTAAATCCCAAATCCTCCCTATGACCTAGAGGCCCTAGGAAAACAGCCAGGGTAACCTCTCTGCCTTCTCTGCCTGTCCTCCCGCAGGCCCCACCTGCCTGACAGACCGAGTGTCCCTGCCTCCGCTGTCCTCCCCTCCTCCAGCCCTCTGTCCAAAGGTCACCTTCTCCCAAGGCCTTCCCTGACTGAAATTTAAAGGAGAAATGTCACCTACCCCCTCCAGCCCTCTCGTCCTTCCTTGATTTAAGTTTCTGCAGAGCACTTGACACCATCCTCCATATTAAATAATTTACCTGTCTATTGACTGCTACCTAAAAGAATGTGAGATTTAGGACAGGAATTTTTGTCTTTGTTCCCTGCTATAAACCTAATTTCCTAGACCACTGCCAGGCTCAATAAGTATTTGTTGAATTATTGAATGAATGAAAGAAAATTGCAACAGGCATTTCTTTTTACCTAACAATCCAACACTAAGTGTTAATCTATGAGTGAAGGCAGGCACGGAAAAGGAGTCCCAAAAGGGAGCCTGAGTTCTCTCTGATTAGGAGTGAACATATCTTCTTGCCTTAGCGTGGCTGTTCCCGGGGCTAGAGGCTGAGCTTGTGTTTTTGGCTCAGTAAATCCCATCCTGAGAATACAATATTACACACACACACACACACACACACACACACACACACACACACACACACACACACACACACACACACACACACACACACACACACACACACACAATCTTTTAAAAGATCCCCAGGCCAACTTACTAATAACTAATTTAAACCATCATAATTATAGTTTCAGTCTCATAATAGCCTTTCATGGGAGCCTAATTGTTGTTTTTTGTTAGAAAAATGCAGTCTGCCTGCCAATCAGCTTAGACTTCTGCACAGTTGCGTTTGTAAGTTGCTGGCTGCATTGCTGTCCCTCTTTTTACCCACATAATAGCCATGCCTAGACCTAGTTTTTTGTTTCAATTAACCTAATTCTCCACAACTGTCATCCTCCTCCATCCCATCTGTCCCTGTTTCATAATCCACTCTTAGAATGGGGATTGGGCTGGAGAACAAGTCTTCACAAAGTAACAAGTAGAGGGAATAATAATGCAAACCCATCATTTCCTTAATTTTGGGCTGAACAGTGTTCAAGTTTGGTTTTATTTTTACCTGAATTTCCTGAAAATGACGGCCCCTTCTACCTGCATCAGGCTGCTTTTTTACCTTGGTGCTCAGAAGCATGTAAATTCTGTGGTTTCTAGCAATGAGGTGTGAGAAGGGGGTGCTGTCCTGACTTTAGAGATGAGGAAACTGAGACAGACAGAGGGCATGTCCATGGTTTTTGCGGAGCCTCCTGAGCCATGGCTGCAGTCAAGTCCTACAGCTTGGAGCTTCTGTTGCCCTGTTCTCTTGTGCTCTGGGTGGAGAGTCCTGATGGCAGCCAGGCCAGGAGCACACAAGTGTGCAAGTCCCTCCAAGTGCTGCTTCTTTACACTTAGTTGTGACTTAGAGCTGGAGAAACCTGAGACTTTGACACATGCATGTTACATTCATTTCTTTTTACTTAAACTGGGGTTTCCCCCTTTCTTAAACCAATGGCAGTCAGTGATATATAGCTCTCTGTACAGCAACCACATAATATTTTTTTATCATCCATTCTGGTGGTTTTTTTTTTTCCCCCTGCCTTAAGTTTTGTCATTTTTCTGGGTTTTCTTTCTTTCTTTTTTGGGGGGGGAGGGGGATGTGGGGGTTGTTTGTTTTTAATGTAGAGGGTTAGGCCTCCTTTTCTATTTTTATCAAACTGGAATTTCTCATCAAGGCCTTGTTGAGTCACCATATTCATTCTCACTATGTTCCTAGTCAGATATTCCACTTGAGTCAAGATTATCTGTCCTGCCAACACCTCAGCTTACTGCTTTCTCTAGAATCTGTAAGCAGCTGTCAAATAGTGTCCAAAAGTTAATGCTGTTGCTGCTCCTCTCACTTCTTTTTACCTGTGCTTTTTTCCCAGTGTGCTGGAAATCTGGATGATCTCAGCTATCAATACCATTAAGCCTGATTTATAAAAAATATGACTCAAACCTTGCTTGCTGAAGCCTCTGCTGATTAACCCCAGACACCTGATCAGATCCTTAACCTAGCTCGCATGCCATAGGTACTTGGGCTCCACTGGAGGGATACTAGAGCGCAGCTGTGAAAAATCTGGAGCTGCACCCCTGGGTTCAAATCCCTCTCTGCCACCTCCTGCCTATGTGACTTCAGGAAAGTCACTTGAATCTGTGCCTCAGCTTGTTTATCTGCAAAGCAGGGATAAAAGCAGTCCCTTGTTCTTATGGATAGTAAAAGAGTTAAAGTTCATAGAATAGTATCTGGCCTATATTAAGCACTACTTCAATGTTAACTTTGTTGTGTTTTTCCTTGCTGATACAAGTCTTCATGGGGAATATATTGTTATGTATATGGCGCTACATCTGTTGGTTTCTTTGTTTCTTTTCTCTTCTACAATACTGGGTAAACGTTGATCTTTCAAAACTTCCCTTTCTGTTATAGTTTCCTCCTTTTCAGACCTAGACCTGAAACACAACTACCACCAAGTTATTCCCAAGAGTAAGGTATCTGTCTTCCTTGGGAGCTGGCTCCTCACAGCAGCATCAGGGTCTAGCACTGGAGTTCTGTGCCACCCCAGCTTGTCAGCATGCTCCTGGAGTCTCCACCCAACTCCAGCTCCTCGGGGTGCAGAGGCACAGGGGTGCACAGCCCTTTTGCTTCCTGGTAGCCACGCGTAGGATTGGCATCATCCCCAGTGTGGGGAGAAAGCCCTCTCTTGTCCATCGCTGACCACCCCCAGCCATATCCCACCCCCTTGGCCATTTCTTTTATGGACAATGAGATGTGCTCCAATTCCTTTGTTTCCTGGTAGCACAAATGACTCACTTTATTATTTTTCCTAATGGGCAGAATAAGTGGCAGATGGAAGGAGCTGCTACTAGGGCATTGCATTTACTCTGGTCCACTGTGGCTTCCTAGAGAAGCTGTGACTGTGGCCCAGCTCTCCACCAGTGCGTGAAAATCCTGCTTGTGCCACACGCACCGCAGGGAACCCTGCAAAGGCACAGAGCATTTAACAGCTGATCCCCTGGTCCTTTCCCCTTCTCCTCCACATCCTCCCCACACACTTTTCTTAAGGGTTGTGCGTGTGTGCTTTAAGACCCTTCTTCCTGCTCAGAAAAAAAAACCAAACATTTTCCTGGGTAGTGAGACAAACTATAGGTGGTTCTCTTTAAGTTCAGGGTCACCAAAAAGAAGAATGAATGGTTAGATATTAAAATGACATTTGTTTCTCTCTTTTGTCTTCCTCTCAGGGGGTCATCATTCTCAGGTTGAACCGTATAAAATTGCTGATCTCTGGCCATTTTGACCCACAAGGTGGGCGTTTTGTACAGTTCAGCCTAACACTAACGGGGTTGGCTTCCACCTCACAGCCCTCGAAGCCGAGCGGCGCCGCCCGTCCTGGTTCCGCACCTGCGCGATGAGACCAGGGGGCGTGCAGTCAGCAGTTCTGGCCAGAACGCAAAGCTCGTCAGTTCCCCTGGGTTGAATGTTATTCCCATTGCTTAAACATCGAAAGCCTATGTGTTTATTACAATCTAAGCTGATTTCATGGCACAGACGCAGTGTCCGTGACGAATCTGGCAGCAACGAAGATGCTGGAGTCAGTCCTTTTAATGCACGTTTGTTTTACTTTCCAGTCTTCACGTATAATGCTTCCAACAAGGAGACCTGTGAACGCAACCACCGACAGTGCTCCCAGCATGCCTTCTGCACTGACTACGCCACCGGCTATTGCTGCCACTGCCAGTCCAGGTTTTATGGCAATGGGAAGCACTGTCTGCCAGCAGGTGAGAGGTGCCAGCATGGTTGGAACTGGGGGGTGCCCCATGTATATTTCTGCTGGTGGCTGGTTTCCGGGTGCCCCTGTGAGCTCTGCTTGTGGACCTTGCCTCACCGCTGCTTGAATCCATGCGTGAGCAACTTGCAGGTGCTCGATACGTGTTTGAGGGATGAACACGTTTCGGCTGATTTCCCAGCGTGAGGATTAACCAGGACTGTTTCCTCCTTTTTGCCAGCTCATTCGAGTCAAAGTGGATGGGAGAGAGGGAGGATGGGAGAAAAGAGACCAAGGCAGGTGTATTTCTTACTTAGATGGATAATTGGTTGGTTAGGCAATGGTGAAAGTGGATAAAGATTGAGTTTTGGGGGGCTGTCAGGGGGATTATTTTATCTGTGGGCCCATCCCCAGCCGGGATGATGGTCAAGGTTGCGTGGATTTGCTGTTTTTCAGGGGCACCTCATCGAGTCAATGGGAAAGTGAGCGGCCACCTCCGTGTGGGCCCCACGCCCGTGCACTTCGCCGATGTGGACCTGCACGCTTACATCGTGAGCAATGACGGCAGGGCTTACACGGCTATCAGCCACATCCCACAGCCCGCGGCCCAGGCCCTTCTCCCCCTCACACCCATCGGAGGCCTGTTTGGCTGGCTCTTTGCTTTAGAGAAACCAGGCTGGGAGAATGGCTTCAGCCTCACAGGTGAGTGGGATCTCTGAGAGGGCTGATAGTCACCATCGCTTTGATGGCATTGCTTCTTGGTTTTTTTTCATTTAGTGAAAGAGGATTTGCTTCTTCAATGTTCCAGAGCTGCAGGTGTGTAGTTTTCTGTCTAGAGGTAGTTGGGGGTGGTTTGGCCTCGCAGGACTATTGTTGAAAGAGACTGATTTCTTCTAAATGTTCTCCAAGTTGAAATGAAATGGGATGATTCTGTTTGGAGCATTTGTGTCCTCTCGCCCTAATTTGTTGAAGCTTGTTTGTCAGACTTTGTTTGAGTTGTTATGCATAGATCTGTCAAATAGGGAAGCACAGATGGAGATGTTTTACATCATGGAGAAAGCGATGCCTTTTCTCCACTCCCACCCTCATGACTCTGACCTATAACAGTAGAGACCAGTGCTTCTCAGACATTCACCTGCACACAGATCGCCTGAGGTGCTTGTAAAACTGCAGGTTCTGACTCACTGGGCCTGAGGTGGGGTCTGTGATCCTAATTTTCTAGCAAGCTCCTCCGAGATGCTAATGCTGGTGTAAGGACCACCCTTTCATAGTGACAGTGTAGAGGATACTTTTTGGCTTTTCACCTCCCACCTGAAAAACTTGTTTCCTTGTAGATTTATCTTTATTGCATGTAAAGTACTGAGAGAAAAGTTCTTTCCCCCACCTCTAGCTGTAGAGCTCAATACCTGTTTGTAGGATCTTGCTCTTAATCAAGATTTGATTAAAATGCCAAGTCAAGAGTAGATAAATAAAATACAGTATCCCCAGTTACACTTGAATTTCAGATAAACAATGAATAGTTGGAATAATTTCATATAAGCATGCCCCAAATATTGTATTAGACATTACTTATACTAAAAATACATTCATTATTTATCTAAAATTGAAATGTAACTGGGTGTCCTCGGGTTTTTGTTTGTTTGTTTTTGCTAAGCCTGGCAGCCTTGGAAAGAGAAAGGTCAAAGATGATCCCAGGAGTTTATTTCTCGCAGAAAACAAGCTCCTACAAAGAGAAGTGGTGTGAGATGTAGCAGGATAAAACCATACTCTTCAATAGAAAATTCGAGGAACTGATGCCGTCAACAGCTGGTAGGACTTAGTCTCGGCTATCAGATGATCTCCTTAGGCACCATCTCCAATAGCAGTAGAAATCAGGAGGTAGACGTATTATTACTGTAATATGCAAGGCTGCTTTTCATCCCTGTTCTGATCTTTTCCCCCTCCAGGTGCTACATTTATCCATGACATGGAAGTTACTTTCTACCCAGGAGAGGAGAAGGTTCGAATCACTCAAACTGCTGAGGAGCTTGACACAGAGAACTATCTGAATATTAAGACCAACATTCAAGGACAAGTACCTTACATCCCAGCAAGCTTCACAGCTCACATTGCTCCCTACAAGGAGCTTTACCACTATTCGGACTCAGGTATGTGTAACCAGTCTTCACATCTATAAAACAGGAATAGTACATATTTCCCAAGATTGTTATGAGGATTAAGTGGGTTACTACATGCAATGTCCTTAGACTCACGTGTGGCACATAAAATGCGATCACGATGAATTTTGTTATTATTATCAAATAGGTAGTGTAAGTGAGCAGAATGCCAGCTGCTGTAACAATCTCAATATTCCTACCTAATACTTGCAGATAATAACAATAATAATAATAATAATAATAATAATAATAATAATGTAACCAATAACAACCTTGTCTTTGGGGGTGGTGTAATTCCATAGAGTTTTCAATCACCCTGCTCTCTGGGCCATGTCAAAATATTGATTATTGGAATTTATACTTGTCCTGTAACCTTATGTTAGCCTGTTTGAAAATCACCAAAAGAGATGCTGCAAAGTGTTGTAAAACTAATGCTAGATTTGGAGTCAGAAGGTAGAAACTCGTATCCTGGATTTGCCATTTAAAATAGGTGGGAAAAAGGTCACTCATCTGAGAGCTTATTGTCTCATCTTTCGAATAAGAATAAGAACACTTTTTCTGTCTACCTTCCACAGTTGACATATGTAAAGTGATGTGCTCTGTAAAACCCCACCAGAGTGTAGAATGCTGGCTCAATCACAGCTGCTGTCCTGCTGCACAGCAGTTTGAGCTGTGCCTTTCCTTGGCCCTTGCTTCTCCTGTGGTGTGAGAGTTGGAAGCCGGGCACGAGATGTAGGCAAGAGAATGGGCAGCGGAGACCTGGGCCATACACAGAATAGCTGATGGCCAGATAACCAGCCTGTGATCCTGACTCTGGGCTCAGATTGAGAGAAACAACCCCTTCCTTTGCCTGGAACCCTTCAGACTTAAGTGCATGGTGTTAGAAGCCAGCACCTCTGTGCGATGGAGAGGATAGACTGGTTCAAAACTTAGGGTGTTGAGTCAGGCCAGCTTGCATTCCAGTTCCAGCTCTACCACACACCAGCCTTGCATCTTAGACAACTTCTTAACTTCTATAAGGCTCTGTGCACAAGATCGCAGGGCCCCCCTCACGGGCTGCTGAGAGGAACAAACAAGGCAGCACACACACAGCACTCAGGGTGGCTGGCACCTATAGCATTTATTCCTTGCATATGATGACAAGCAGTGACAGGACCACCTCCCTCTCAGCAGCACTTTGGCTCTGCCTCAGCTCAGTTGTTTGGCTTGCTTGTTTCCCATGGAAACCCAGGAGCTTCTCAAGGGAACATGTTCCAGGAATTAGATGAAAAACCAACTGTGGGGCTGGCCGAGTGGCACGTTGGTTAAGAGCTGGCTTGGGACACCAGCTCTGAGCAGCAGGGTCCCAGTTCGGATCCCACATGA